GATTCAGCCGCTGTTGAAACTGATCAGTTTCAGCAGCGGCTGAATCTGGACGCCAGTTCCGACTTACATACAGATTCAATTTAAGAACAAACCTACAGTCCCTATCTTGTACGTAACCCGGGGACTGCCTGTAAGTCACACTTGGCACTGGGGGTAGTAGTTTTTTTTCCTGTTTGTTTGTCATTGCATATGTAATAATATATTAGTTGAGTAAGGGTAGGTCTACATAGCCCATGGAAGTGAGCCTTCCAACCTGGGTCAACAGTAGACTCAGGCTCATTGGGCTTATGCTAAAAAGCTATGTAGACAGAGCTGTGAAGTTGCAACTCAGTCTTAGAGTTCTGTCTCGGAAGCCTGGAGAGGGAGGTGGGCTTCACAGCCCAAGCTCCTGCCTGAGACACAAGAGCTACACAGCTACTTTAGAATCATATTGCAATCCCAAATTTGTCAATCCAGATTGGGAGGCTTGCTGCTCCAGGCTATGCAGATGCCCCCTAAAAGGGCTAGATTGAATAAGGCTCTTGGGTCCAGTATTATAGAGGTAGGATTGAGGTTTGTTCAAGTTACCTTTTGGCACTAAGGGGTCAAATTCTTCTCAACATATATTAACATTCCCAGTCCCTTCAATGGGACTATTACATACTTAAGCGTTTTTTGCAGGCCTGGGGCCAGAGTTTTTAGTGCCTTGACAGATTAAGCCATCGTTTAGTTTGGCATTAGTTTACACTATTTTATATTCCAGCTTGAGTTCACCCTGATGTTTTGATTGAACTCCAGGGCTATTGGGGTAAATTTTTCAATACTTCTTCAATCCCATTTTCAAATGTGATTTAGGCAATTATGGCCAGATTTTTAAAGGTATTTAGGCACCTAACAATTCAGGTAGACTCCAAGTGTGATTTCTAGTGGGAGCTTATCCTTATCTTTATCTCTTTTTGCACATTCAAAATTCCCTCTAGACACCTCTGTCCATCTTCAAGTGTATAAGTATCTTTATAAATCTGACAAGTGCTTATGTCATATTTGAAAATGGGACTTTTCAAAATGAGAACTTTTATCTTGGGTTCTCTCTACTCCTCCATTTTGTGTCCTAAACTTCAGTCACAGGCATGATCAGAAGTGAGAGTCTGAGCCTTCCTCACGTTCTTCAATATTTAATTCATAGACAAACTCAGTCTGCAAATATCAGCTCTTATACTGTGCAAACAAACTGCTGTCTGTGAAACAATGGGCCAGATTTGTTCTGTTTAAAAATCCACAATTGTGCTGTTGAATGTTAATTGTTATTTGTTATTTTCAGCAGCTAATATGTTACACCCAAACAGTAATAAAATATCTGTTTTTTTTTTTAAAAAACAATTTACACAGAGTGTTATAATGCAAATAATAAAAGATACTTTTTTACTGATGTCACTAATTAGACTGTTTTCTCAACTGGTTATGTAGCAATTCAGACACAAACTGTGTTAAATGTGATGGGCCCGATTCTTTCCCCATTTACATAGGTTTTAACTCTGATGGAATTGCTCCCTACAGTGGTGTAGGTAAGTTCAGCATGAGGCTTGCTAAATATAAGATCCACAAAAGCAGGGAAATTTACAATTAAAGATTAAACAACCAGTGTGCAGTATCTAGATAGTGCACTAGTATAAAACTAGTTTGTATGTTTTAACCTAGAATTCTGTATATAAAAGGAGTTGGGTAAAATGACCTAATTAATGACTCTAGGCCCTGATTCAACTGATATAAATTGGCATAATGGAGCTACACCAATTTACACCACCTGAGTATCTAGCCTCTGGTTTCTATCATAACATTAGGAAGCTGATTTTTGCAATACTTGTGGGCTGAAACCTCTCACTGACTTGTAGGATGTTTGGGTTTACAAAGATCATAAGACTTAACCTTAATTGTGAATCTTATAGTGATTAGGTACTAGATGCATGGTAGATGCATACACCATGAATAGCCCTGCTTTTATTTCTGTTCATATCTGTGCACTTTTTTGGAAACTGGATTTCGCCCCTATAGTACCTAAATTATGTTTTTGTTTGGTAAATGTTCATGTTTCTTAAACTGATTTATCTTGATACATTTTTGTATATAATTTTGTTAAATGAACGAAGGCTATGCCAAACATCTGTTTTCTTGTCTATTATCATAAATAGCTTGAGTGAAATTATATTTTTGAACATTAATAAAAATGAACTAATATAGAACACCTGACATTTCTCACAAAACTAGCAGTTTCAATCACAGGATAAAAATGTATTTGGAAGCACTACGTCATTGTTGACCTTATTATGATAGGAAAATACTCTAGAAATGGCCTAGTTTTCTCTTTAAGAGATACATTAAAATCCAAACTCAAAGTGTGCAGCTAGTAATTAAACGTTTAATTGTAGCCAATTATTTCACATATATGAAAGATCTGCTTGATCAAATGTGATTAATTCATCTCAAAATATAGTCAGCATTTGTGTGTAGAGTGGGAATATTCATACACCAATTATTTTCTTTGGTAGCTGAATTCTATTAAAAGAATTGCCAGTATGGAAGATACTGAGTTCTTTGATATTTGTGAAAAGGAGCAGACAGCTGCTACACCATTTTTGGAACAAGAAAAAGATGACGATGACAGTGCAACAGATCAGTTCTGGCATGTGGTGAACCCGCTAAAAGGTAAAGGTGAAATAGTTTGCTAATTTACAAATGCTAACATACTAATATATTTTCTCATTTGGTTGAGATGGTACAATTCAGTCCACACAACACATTTGGAGTCAAACTGAGATATTATATTGATATAATTTTAAAGTAATTCTGTTGACTCCAATGAGGTTACTTCTGATTTATGCTGTGTACCTAAATAGAATTTAGTCTGTCACAGGGTATTCCCTGTACTTCTACTTGTCAAATATACAAGGATAGTGTACAACTATTTTACTTAATGCAACCTTCTTTTTTGTTTTCTATTACCCATTATTATAGTGCAGTGCTGCCACTGACCTTAAAATGAAAAATGTCTTACGTAAGCATTTTATCATCATCATCCTGGCACACACACACCACATAAATATTTAGTGAGAAATTATTCTCACTAAATGAGTGTTGCAGTAAGCTAAAAAGAATTTAAAAAAATATAAATGCATACAGTCATATAGGTTAGCGTTTGGTGAACAACATTTTAATATACTGCCTGCCAAAACCTATCAATGATCCATAAGTCCTGAATTCCATTTGGCTAACACAGATTTTCTTCCTATAGCACTTATATTTGATTGTCAGTGACAACTGGAGAGCAATTGTCTGTTTATTTCCTAGGTATAAAATTGCTTTCATGTGTATTTTGTGATGAGAAGTTTTTTATTATACACACCAATAAAGCTTTTAAGATGTCATCTTCATGCTGCTTGTCATGTTTTGACTTGGCAGGAAATGTACATTTTAATGTCAAAAGTATCTTTATTAAACTGTTGTTTTTCTTTAATTTTTGTTAGGACACAAGATTGGAGAAGAGACAGAGGAGGAGGAGGAGGAGGATGAAATCAGAAGCAAGGATGCTTCTGATGGAGTTGGAGAGGACTCTAATTCTAGTGTGTGAGTAATTTGTATACTCATCAACTATACTGAGGATTTTTTTTGGTATTAATTTGCTTTTTGTGACAGAAGATTTATTTATCACAACTTCAAGAATACTCTGGATTTCTTTATGGGAAAGAATTATAGGCCTTTCTGACAAAGCTGTTCTAATAAGAGAAAACAGCAAGGCATAGATAGTAATAGTAAGATGCAAATAAACATTGGACCCTATAAATCCTGTGGAATTCAGTAAGACCTATCAGTAAGTGAGACATTTGTTTGTTTAAGAGGGTTGGGACATATGCTGCTGAATATACAGTGTTAGTACAAGTATACTGATACCTACTTTGTGGCAGCAGATAAATGGTACAGCAGACTAAAATAATACTTGAATCTTAGGAGACCACAGTTAAAAAATCTAACACAGGTCACATGGCAAGATAGTTAAACTCTGCATGAGGATATCAGGAGTGAGGCAGATCAGGGAATAGTAAAATTCATTAGCCTGTTTACATGAGGAAACTTGCATATCACACATACTTAGCTGTAGCCAGATATGTTCTCAGTTCCATAAGCAATGAAACTCAAAGTGCTCTAAAATAGAACCACCAGTCCCTTCTCTCTAGAGATTTCATGAGACCTAAATGACAACATGCAATAGTTTATACATTCTGTGGGACATGTACTCCTTAATCTACTGCTTTTTAATACATTCTAAGGAAGTCATAATGACTTTGAATTACTTTCCAGGAATCTGGAATTTTACAGATTTAGGCCAGCATTTTCAAATGTGGGAGCCTAAAAGTGCTTAAATAAATGACTTTATTTTTTCAGAAGTGCTGAACACACACATTTCCCAGTAAAGTAAAGCAGAGCTGTGTATGCTCAGTATCTTTGAACATCAGGTCACTTATTTAGTTCCCTAAATATGAATTTGTGCATTTAACATTTGAGGTTTGTCTCTGGTTTACATGTGCATAACAAGGATTTTAGTGCTGATTTTATAATTTTTTTCTTTGTGTTTTTATGCTTACTATACATTCATACTTATGATTGAAAAATAATTTAAGAAAGAAAAGAAAAAAGTGTGTAAATGTGCGTTCATATAACCCAAATAACTATTCAATGCCTCAACATTGTTGCAATGGTTAATCATTTATGACAGTAGAAGTTTGTTTGTTTTTTCTAAAGGGAAATCCAGGAGTGCCCCATTAACAATGGTAATAATAATAAGACCCTGAAGAATGCAGACAAAGTTCAGATATTAAACTTGCGCAGAAATCTCAACCAGCTTGACAATGTAGCCAAAGAAAAGGACGTTACCATCCAAAAACACAGGTTAGTGTTTAGCCATAGACCTCCTCCCTGCTCGGCTACTAGGCTCCAACTGAGCTGGGAGCTCCCTCTCTTATACTTCCAGCCCCACCCTTCTGCTTCCTGAGGGCCGGGGCGCTCTGGTACCACTCACCAAGGTGTTTTTAGGGGAACTTGCTCCTCCGGGTCAACAGGAGGCCATGCTGCCTCCTTACATGCCTGTAATCCAGAATGAACATTACTAGTCTCTTTTCATTGTTCGAACTGAATGACAAGTAAATTGGATGTTAAAAATTCATTTTCAGTTATCTTGTAACACAAGTGAAGAAGGCTCAGATTTAAAGGTCTTTAAATCTGTTAGTGGCCCTTTTTGTGAAGACTTAGTTATTCTCAATTTTTATTCCTCTATACTAAATCATACAAATAGTTTGAGAGAGACACCTGTTGGTTTTATAGATAATAAAAAACGGTGGTCATATGAATATAAACCCAATAACTCCCATGCTATAAGTCCACACTATAAGTCTTTGTGTGATACTCAGGATATTAGTTGCATATACTAGCCATATGCCAAATCCTGCTCTCATTTAAACCTGTATTTAAATCAACTGGAATTTGCTGAGGAAACGGCAGAAAAAACAGCCTCCTCTAAGATCCTCAACTAGTATAAGTTCGGAGAGGAGTCCTGTGGCATCTTATAGACTAACTGAAGTGTTGGAGCATAAGCTTTCGTGGGCAAACACCCATTTCGTCTGATGAAGTGGGTCTTCGCTCATGAAAGCTTATGCTCCAACACTTCAGTTAGTCTATAAGGTGCCACAGGACTCCTTGCCACTTTTGCAGATTCAGACTAACATGGCTACCCCTTTGAAACTAGTGTAAGTTGTCATAGCATCACTGATGTGAGTGGAGCTATGACGTTTACATCATCTGAAGATTTGTCCCTTAAGTTCAACCACAGAAACAGATTTACACTGGCAATGTTCTTTTAGGCCTGTACATTAAACAACATCATTAATTCCTCCTTTTAAATGGCTATGGCTAAAAGGGGACTGATATGACTTAAACAGGATACCAAAAAATTCTGATTAGCATTAATAAAAGGAATATTTTACTACAAAATACCTACTGACAATGCTTCTCTAAATTACTTCTAAGCAACATCAGTAACTCATCTTGCTAATGGGAATATCAAGTAGATAATTCAGAGTTTGGTGGTCTACTGAAACCTCGAAAATCAGAGTTGTACTTTGCCTTCGTATTTCGCTAACAACATATTTTCAGGATTTTGTTTGCTATTCAAAATCTCTAACGTGTTGCTGTTGTGTTTATGGCTGAGCAGCCGTGATTCTTTTAAATAAGCTCCCTGAGTTTACAATCACTTAGAGATTTTTAAACATAATTAATTTTAATGTATAATAAGCACTAATAATCCCTTTTCTGAAACAGAACAAGAATTAATTGTTTGAGAAATTGCTTTTTCATATTGAAAATAATTTCCATTGCTTTATATTTTACTAGCAATCCTATACAGTAAAATGTGGCCAACTCATGCTGTGTATGCATAATGTGTAATGCAACAAAAGGAGAGGGGAAAAAGTCAAGTTAATCACAAAAGCTATTTGAGCTGCCAAGGAAAATTATCAGCAAGTTATATAGTGAGTTAGGAGTGTTTGGCACTGGGAATTCATGCCTAGGGACTCATAAATGATCAGCAGAGATTATGAAAACTCAAAGAAGGAACCATTATTTCAGCTGTTCTGTAGTCTGTCCTAAAAGTTAATCCCAGTAGTCTGCCCCTCAAACTGCATAGTTTAAATATCCATGTTATTTGAATGAAAAACGAGTCACTCTTAAAAGTTAAGAAATTGTGAAATAAAGCAGGTGACATGCTTTTTGTCAGTGCAATTAGGGTTGGCCTCACAGATGGGTGAGGTGGACAAACACTGACGATTCCGTGGCCAAAGCTCAAGGATGACGGGGAATGTGGGGAAGCAGCAAGAGCTGGGGTCTGTGTGGGGAGCCCAGAGAAGCAGTGTGGGCCAGACAGGATGGAGGGATGGATGGGGAACTAAGAGAGGCAGTGGAAGCAAGGGAGGCCAAAATATAAGTTCTTCTTTGAGAGGTGTCCCTGGGGATGCTCCACGTTAGGTGCTGAGCACCCCTGCGCCTCTGGACGGATTTTTGCATAGCAGTGAATTAGGGGGCTGCGCATGCTCGGCGCGCTGAGTACACAGGCTTCCCCTGGTACCATCGCACATGAGCAGCTCCTCTCCCCTTCAGTTCCTTTCTACCTTCCCCGGCTTTGGACGGAACTCTGCAGTGCTCTCGCTAAACTTGTCTCCTCATAAACTAATTCATTGTAATTAGATAGTAATTAGAGTTATTAGCAGTTCTAATGTTGTTTGTTATTATTGTTAGTGTTAGTTTAAAAAGAAGGTTCCGGTCTCGAACTGCCTTCAGAGCCATACACCGGCATGGGCTCACCTGGCTTCAAACAGTGCACTCTGCAATGACGTGATACCTGCTTCTGATGGGCATGATAGATGTGTGCCCAGAGCACAATTTTCCATAAGGCTGGCTCTGAGACTGAGTGTAATAACAGTACAATGTAACCTTAGAATTGAAAGACCTTACAAAAGAAAACTAGACTCTTTGGCCACTTAGGTGTTGCAATGCTCAGGCCTGGCCTACACTGGTAGTTTAGATCGAATTTAGCTGCATCAAGTCGAATTTCTAAATAATGAGTCCATACCTCTAAGCCTGTTCCATCAATTTTTAAGGGTTGTTAAAGTCAATTTTGGTACTCCAGCTCTCCACAAGGAGTAATGCTAAATTTGACCTTGCATGGTTGCCTTTACGATATTGGAAAGTCAAAGTTCTTGGACTCCAGGAGGTGTTCCACAGTGCCCTGTGGTGCCTGTTCTGGCAAGGACTTTCAACTCCACTATTCCCCAGGTGAATAAAAAAAGCCCTGGGAAAATGTGAATTTTTATTTGAGCAGACCTCAGAGCAGGCAGCATACCTGAGCAGCACACCTGATCATAAGTTCCATGAGTTCTCAGGGTTGCAGACAAGCACTAGCATGGAGTGTGCAGACGATCCTGCACCTCATTATTGTATGGGGAGAGAAATTTGTTCTCACAGAACTATGAACAAGCAAAAGAAATGCAGATATCTATGCCAAGATCACAAAGGATATGGAGGAGAAAAGATTCACCAGGGACGCCCAGCAGTGCCGCATGAAAATAAAGGAGCTGAGGCAGTTGTGTCAGAAGACAAAGGAGGCAAGCAGATGGTCTGGATCATCGCCACAAACATGCTGTTTCTTATGAGTAGCTACATGGGATCCTGGGGGGGACCCAACCAGCTTCCCTAGCCAGTCCATGAATTCTTCTGAAGACACTCCTTGGGCAACAGTGTGGAGGACAGTGTGGATGAGGAGGAGGAGAATGGTCAGCAGGCAAGTGGGGGCAACTGATGTCACCGACAGCCAGGACCTTTTTATAACATTGGAGACAATCCCCCACTCCCAGGACATCTTAAAGGTGGGCACTGATCTCAGGGAGGGCACTCCTGGTGAGTTCACATTTTTTGTCATTCTACAAGTGGTATAAGGCATGATCTGTGGGTGTGATCTGTGGTGGCCACTATGCCTACACAATGGAGTGGAAGAGTCCCTGGAATAGCTTGTTAATTTGTCAGGAGATGGAGCAGGAATCCTCCCTGCACATCTCCATAAAGCTCTCATAGAGGAACTCTTTGATCCTTCTCACAATGTTTCTGGGGAGCCTGCCTTCTTCTAAGGATGTTAAATATCAATTAATTTACTAGTCTAGTAGTCTATTGAATTTCCATTCACTACTCGACCAGTTGATAGGCGCTTCCGTATTCCTCCTTTGAATTGTACAAGAGCCCCAGTGGGCTCTTTGTGCATTTCAAAGTTGGAACTCCACGTGCAGCCAGGGGAGCAGTGGGACTTCGCTGACCCCAGGCTCCATGTAGCGCTGCTGCTTTGAAATGCTGCATGGAGCTGGGGAAAGTGGCAGCACCACACGGAGCCTGAGGTATGGGCTGTGTGTGGCCACTTTGAAATGCTGTGGCCTCTGATAGAGGCAGCAAGTGGGGGCGAGGCGGGGGAGAAGCGACTAGTTGACTTGACTGTCTTATGACCATTTGCTTATCAGATAGTCGACTAGTTCTTAACATCCTTACCTTATTCCATCCTCCACGGTAGGACATCTTTCCATGCCAAGCCAGTAGTAAGTAGTCTGGCATCATTGCAGCACAAAGCATTACAACATAAATTTCTTGCCACATTCAGTCAACATCTGCTCCTATCACTCTGTGTGATTACTGGCTAGGCACTGTGCCTTGACCCCGCATCTTGCTGCCACACTCAGGCCCCCTCCCAACTGCAGGCTCCTGCAGTAAGGAAAAGTTGCACTCTTCTGGAATATGGGGGTTACCAAATACTCAGGTGCTGTGAGAGTCCCTTTCTGCCCTGCAGGCTCGAGCCCCTGCCTGTTTTTTACCATGCCTGCCACCAAACTGAGTCCAACTGCTCCCTTAAGAACTCTGTGTTGTACCTGCTGAATAGTGGCCACTTAAAAGCATAACTGTGGTCTTGTACATAACACATCCCTATTGTCTTTAGACAGACCTTTCTTTTATGCTAACAGATTAGGTTTTATATCCTTCACTTTTCGTTACAGCAGGAAGAGCAGTGAGCACAGTTGGACAGGGAGCACTTAACGAGTGGAGAATCGCACGGCTGCAGGGAACTGGAAGAACCAGGAGAGAATCTTGACGACCATGGCAGATGAGATAAACCACATGGCAACCTTCAAGGACAGCTACATGCACAGGCATCCCGTCTAGCCCTTGTGGCCATTCCCTCCTCACTGAGTCCCATAGCCTCCTCTCTCAGGGGCCCTAGAACACATTGGGAAAGTCAAGGACAGCCTCATACTCAACCCCCAGGGATGTGTCCTGAAGCAAAAGGCTGTTCATCTCACAATTGTGATCATACACGCATATATGCAAAGCTCTCGTCCTGAACTCCTTTTCTGCCCCTGCTGTGTTCCCTACATAAACATGCGTGATTTCTGAACAACATTCTCTTTATTGCTTGTACTGGAGGTGGGAGAAATACAGGCAAGTATACTGAATGCAGGGGCAGCTCATTAAGAACAACATGCATGACTCTCAAATTGCTCAGAGGCTTCAGGGGGTAGCCGAGGTAGTCTGTACAGGATAAACTTAAATAACAACAAAAGGTCCGGTAGCACTTTATAGACTAACAAAACACGTAGATGGGCACAGCCCACAAAATTGCTGTCTAGTCATTCATAAAGCTTTATTTCAAAGCCTCTCTGATTTGTAGTTCCCCTCACTATGCTCTCCTTATTGCCCTGGTGTCTGGCTGCTTTTGATTACTGGGTAGGTTCTTGCCTTAATCCCCTTCCCCCTCCCCCACACAACCCTGCCATATACATTTCCCGCTTACTCTCTCAAACGTTATGGAGTACACAGCAGGCTGCAGCAACAATAGGAATGTTGCTTTCACTGAGGTCTAACCTAATCAGTAGGGTACCTTCCCTTTAAATGCCCAAAAGCACATTTTACCACCATTCTTTGACGGATAATACGTTGTTTTTGTGGGTGTACCTGGGGAGTACACCCCAAACATAAGGGCAGCATGCAAGACAACGCAAATGTGCTTGTTTGAAAATTCAACAAGGGGTGAGGGAGCCTGGCATTGATAGCCAAGGGTCAACAGCTCAATATTGAATCAGAGCTGGGGTGTGGATAGGCCATGAAAAGCACTGAAGTGAATACAGGCAGCTTATGTTTGATGTAACACACAAGGGGGAAGGGATGCAAAGAGGGGTGACATGGGCAAAGCGAAAGTCTAGAACAGCATTTCTCAGTAAGGATCCAGAGCCCCCTGGAGGCCGTGAACAGGTTTCCAGGGGTCTGCCAAAATAAACCAGAGAGCAGGGCCAGCATTAGGTTCACTGGGGCCCAGGGCAGAAAACCAAATCCCGAACCTCACTGCCTGGGGCCAAAACCTGAGCAACTTAGCTTCATAAGGCCTCTTGTGGCATAGGGCCCTGGGCAATTGCTCTACTTGCTACCCCCTAATGCTGGCCCTGGCTTTTAATCTACTGAAAAACAGTTGTTGTGGCACAGGTGGGCCATGGAATTTTATAGCCTGTTGCAGAGGGAGTTCAGAAGGAAAAAGGTTGACAGCCCCTGGTATAGAAAATTATTTTTGGAGCAACAATCGGAATAGATCTGAATGAGGGCAAATTTGCATTTGTCAAGTCCAGAGGAGAATTTTGTAGTAATAAGATGCAGAATGATGAGAGCTTGGCCAATATTTTTAGGTGTGCAGATTGATAGGAAACACTGTATGTTAGTGATTTTTATGTACAAAACCTGTAGGATTTAGACAACGTGTGGATGTGAGGACCAGGATAGGGGTCTGATTCAAAGATAACTGTAGAGTTACAGACCTGAGTATGAAACAGAAACACAAAGCCTCTGACATGGTGTGGAGGAGCGGCTCCCCACTCCCCCCTCTTCCTAGCCTACTCTGGGCCTAGCGGCTACCCAGCTGTCCCTTCTATGCACAGTTTTCCAACTCTCCTGCCTCGGTGGCAATTTATTGTAGTCCCAAATGGATCTCTCCCGCCAATGGCGGGTGGGGGTAGGGAGACCCGTACCCGCCCTCTCTCACGGGTCCCAGTCCAGGGCCCTAAGGACAGGTACCGGTATAGAACTGTCCGGCTGGTAGGGCTCCTGCCTAAACGCACCAGCCCGTGGGCTGTGAGGCCCCACCCTGGGCCGCTTTCCTACCCCTCCAGGTGCCACCGGAGCGGACCCATCTTACTCCTACTCCACCCACTCCTCCGCGTCTTTACTCCGGGACTCTCCTGGCGTTCCCCCAATCCTTCTACTCCCTCGCCCATTTGCCTACTCCCTTTCGCCCACCTACTCCTGACACTCCTCCATCTGTGTCTATTGCACTCTCTCACTTTCTCTCCCTTCTCCCCCCCCTCGTGCTCATACCCCTTTTGAACCACCCGCCTGCCTCATCCCCTTGCTAGCCCCTCCTCCCCTTGCTAGCCCCTCCCCTGATGTACGTTCCCCGTAGCCTCCCCAGACCCCGCCCACCCCCATGACGTACTGTCTAGCATATTGCTGCTGCAGCTGCGCTCGGCATCTCCCGGCCATGGTGCCACTCAGCTGGGCTGCCGCGAGGGAACAGGCAGTACAGGTGGCCGACTGCTCTCTGCGCACCCTGTAAAGCGCGGGGGTAGGCGTGGGCTGAGTGGATCAGTTCCGCTCCTGTGTAGTAAGTCTGCCCCATCACACACACACCCTTCAAGTACCCTCTTACCCCTGTCCCTTTATCATCGTGGTCCAACGGTACTCTTGAAAAAAAATCTGTGTTCCCATGGGACCGTCTGGAGTGATGATTGATATCAAAATAGTACGGCTGCAGGGACAGATACCATTGCATGATACATGCGTTTGAGTCTTTCATCGTCTGCAGCCAACAGAGGGGTGCATGGTCAGTGACCACTCGGAAACGGTTCCCTACCGTGGGCTGGTGCATTTCTGCAGGAGCCCCACCAGCCGGAAAGGTCTCTATCTGTACCTGTCTTTAGGGCCTTGGGCTGGGACCTGTTAGAGAGGGCGGGTCCGAGTCCCCCTACCATCAGCGGGAAAGATCCGTTTGGGACTACAATGAACTGCCACCGAGGCAAAAAGTTGGAAAACTGCATTGAAGGGACGGCCAGGTAGCCAATAGGCCCAAGGTAGGCTGGGAAGAGGAGGGAGCCGCTCCTCCACACATAGTAAAACGCCAGAACTAATTACAATTAAAAAATCTGCAGAATTAAAAAAACAGAAATGTGGTGGGTGGCAGGAATAAAATACAAAGGAGTGGGAAAGATTGTATTATCTCTTCCTAGAAATCTCAGCAGTACACAGCAGGAAAGTTGTGCTCATCCATCTCTGCCCACTCTTCTCTCTTATAGCAGAGCCTGCATCCTTGGAGCACACTCCAGGAGGTTTCACCAGAGATGGAAATGAAACTATGGCAGCAGTTGCTATTTCTTTTCACATGGGACAGGGAGAGTCATGCATGAAGGGTCTAATTCCCACCTGGGGGTTTGACTCAGTAATGATCATATTTCAAACGACTGTTCCAAATTATTAGGAAAAAACAGTTATTATTTTTATATTCTGTAACATTGTGACAAAAAGGAAATGGAACATACAGTACATTATAATAAAAAGGTAACTAGGAAGTTTCAATTTTGAGTATCATTGTTGAGCTATTGTTATGCAGCTGAGAAGAGAAAGTTTTAAAAGAACTGTTTCTGTGAATTTATAAATAAACGGTGTTCTTGAAGAGCTGCTGTAGTTTAGGGTTTTCAGCTTTTATTTTCTATTTTAGATAACTTTTTGGAAAATAAATATAAATCTGCAAAGTGCAATATTTCTAGACATTTCCTGCCATTTAGTCATTATCCTCCCAATGTGTGCACTCAAGATGTCAACTCGTGTCCTCCCCAATTGTGCAATCATCTCGGAGTGGCAGGAAGTTGATGCCTGGGAGTAGAGAGGCCAACAGCTGTCTGCAACATTTTTTTTTCATCATAAACAAAACCTAATAATTATCATTGAATCTTCCTTGAAAAGGGGCTTTTATTGGTAAATATCATGCAATTTTTAAAGTGGAAGTGCCATTTACAACTGTACTTGAAGCTCCACTGTCTATAACCTATTTTATAGTGACATGCTGTGAATGATTTCCCTTATTAATTGCTATTATTTTGCAGAGCAAGGGTAACGATTCTTGTACTTCACTATCAAACATAATTCTATTAACAGTTACAAATATCATGGTGACTGGGTAGCTTAGATTTATGAAGGCATATGGAGTCTTAACTTTTGAACCAGTGACCTAAAGTGACCAAGTCAATTATCTGACTATATTGTAGCCTGTGTGAAATGAAGTGGTGTTTCTAGTTCCTAGTGAGCTTCTGTCCACTCGTCAGCTAAAATCATTATCATAGCTGCAGTCTTAGTACAAAGGAGCCAAATACAAAATTAGCCAGACACACAGAATTTCCGATTTACTGCTCAAGGGGGTCCCTCCAGAATGTAAAGCAGATCGCCATGGTGTCATACAGACACCTGCATTGTTTCTTTTTATGCTTTACTGAATAAATAAAAGCCTTCAGGTCTTGTGGCTGTTGACATAACAATTCCTAAGTCTGTCCCAAAGACCACTGATCTCACTCAACTCTGGATCAAGCCCTGGACAATAACATTCACTTGCCTTTAATGACATAGGTGGTCTCACTGAAGTCAGTGGGACTATTCATGAACTTAAACACCCAGCTTAAATGTTTTCTTGCATGAAGGTCAAAAAGTATAAAACCCAAGTTAAAAATATGCTGAAGGAGGCTAAATTTTAAAAATATTCTTTGTCATCGTCATTAGTAGATGACACTAGAACTCCGAATGAAATCAGAATTAAGATGTTATATATATTTTTTCTAAATTCCTGGTACAAATATTTTAAAGTTTGCAAGTGTCCCTAAAGAAACTCTTGATAGGATCCAACTATGATCCTAAGGAACAGATACGCTTCAAGAAAAGGCATGAGAAATATACCAGATATAAATAAGTATATTTTTTGTTTGTTTCAGAGAGAAGCTTAGTGCCTGCCAGCTGCGGCTCGAAATGCTAACAAAAGAACGAGAGTGCACAGAGACCAAAATAGAAGAAGGGAAAAAGGCTGGAAATATGTAGGTAGAGGGTATTTCTGGTTGTCACAGATTATTGGCATGCTCTGGGTTTACACATGGGGAGGGAAAGGTAATGAAATAAACTTTGTGACATTTTCCCTCTTCTTATTGTTGAAAATGTTTGATAACATTGTTAAACATATTCTTGAATCTATCAAATGACACCATTGCCATTATCAGGATAAAAAAACAAGCTGTTATCTCTCAGTGGGCCATGCCATCTGGCAAGGAGCATTGCATGGTCATGCTGTGCTTGGAGAACAGATCAGACAGGTTAGGTCCCAAATTGGTGAAGACTAAGTGATGCAATTACTCTCCAGGCAACTTATTATTCACACCAGCACTACCTTTCACTGGATATACAGAGCAGCAGTACAGTAGCTTGGAAAAGGCTCATCTGTGCAGTTTCCTGTTCAGAGGTAAGATGCTACTAAGGCAATTGCTGTGAAATAAGAAGTGTGAATTGGGGGTTAAAGGAACGTCTCATGACGGCAGATATTTGAGTTAATCCTTTGCATTTGGACAACATTGACAAGGTGGAATGATCAAATGCAGGATTTCCTAGTAGGAAGAGCAGGGAACTAGGTATCAGAACTCATGAATTCTTTACTTTGTTCTGTAACTGACTTGTGAGACCTCAAGCGGGTTCCTGCCTCCCTTTGCTTATCTATAAAATGGGAATGATAACTCTTTAGTTACCTGAAATCTGCTTTTTGAGATTGAATGTTTTCTCTATAGCAACTTGTATCCAAGGAGCTCAAAGTAATTTAAGAATATTAAACACTGTAGGTCAGGGTTGGGGAACCTTTTTTAGGTCAGAGCTACTGACCCACAGAAAAATCAGTCTGGGGCCGCACACGAGTGCAAAACAAAACAAAAAAAGCCCAAAACAAAAAAACAAAAACCCAAACCAAAACCCCAAAACCAACAAAGAAAACCCCTCACTGATGTCACCCCTGACTAAAAAGGAGAAGGATATACCCCACATTCCCCTCGCACACCAGAGCCGGGGGGGCCCAGGCTAGTAGATTTTGTATGCTCCAGCCCCACAGGAGGGCAGGGTGGGGGGAGGGAGCCTGGAGCATCAGCTCAAGAGCCCCAATGCTGGGGGGCAGGAGGGAGCCCTTAACCAGAAAAGCCAGAGGCTGCATCCCAGGCCTTAGGTTCCCTTCCCCTGCTGTAGGTAATAGTAAAAAACTGAAGTATGTGATAAATTAAATTTTGAATCTCACACTGTGTCCTGCATGAACACATTCAGATCCAGATTCTAATCCAAAATTTTCCACAAATTTTAGTGTGTGGTACTGGGGGCACTGGACCATCATATTGATTTATGGCAATATCCTAATACTGTTCATAGGATTTACTGTTCCAGTGGTAAATATGGTAAAAACATTTTGCTTCTGATTTCTGTGTAATTTTCATCTTCTTTATCCCAAACATTTTTTTGTTTTACTAGATAAACATATTTTCTACTAATCTTTAACAAATAATAACAAACCCATTAACTAAAAATAAAATCTTCAAATTATTATTAACCTATAGTGCTCCACCACAAAATAAATTGAAGTAAGGAATTGTCTGTCTGTTGCTAACAATAACTAAATCATGCTAATTAAGAGAGCATTAGTTGATGCTACTGTTCTTCAACCACACTTTCACTTATGGGATTAAAGCGCACAGTGGTTTTTTTTGTTTGTTTTTGTTTTCAGAAATAATTAGGTTGTTCACAATAGTTACAACAAACTGAAGAGGAATAACAGATACAACTAGTGTCCTGTTACATGAAATATATTCAGGCTTCTTCTGTCTCCTCTTCAATAATATGGCCCAAATTCTGTCACTGTATTCACCGATATAAATCTGGAGGATCTTAACTGGTTTTCAGGAAGTTACCCTGTATTTATACATGTGTTATTTAAGTCAGTCCTGAGTCTCCCCCATGTTTTCTCATATTTCCATTTTTGTTTGACTGATGCTCATTAACAATACATGTGTGAACTAACCTAATCTAAAATAGTTAAAGAAATACCGTTCCTAAAAGCTACACACAAATTATGATAACAAAACAAAATGATGGCCATTGGATTAGTTATTTTGTGTGAGATAACAATCTTGATTTACAGAGACTGTCTTGTGATTCCTATGAGAAATACAAGCATTAATGGGAATACAAACATGCCTCACTTTGAGAATCAAACCATGACAACCTATTGCTGTCATCATATCAGTGATATATAAAATGTACCTGACAGTCTCATGGATACTTCATTTATACCTTACCATGAAGTATTTTATATAGATAAAGTCTGTGGAGTTTTACATGTAGTTCACAGATTCACTAAATTTTATTTTGCACCTTAATAATGGAAGATGAATTCTAAAAATAAGGCTACCTGCAGTCTGTTCATTTTATGCAAGTTTGTCATTGTAGCACTCAGCAGGCAAAATCTAAGTGCCATTGACTCAATGGCCACAATGAAAATATGATAAACTTACAGAGAATGTAATGACACTTGTATACCTTTATCTTGGGCTGATTCTTCCAACTTCCAGGAAAGCCCCTTGATCGTTTTCATCATGTTACATGAGTCTCTCATTTTTAGCCTTACTCAGTCACTGGAATTATATAAAGGGATTTTCACCCTGGGGTAAATAAAATGTAGATTTAAAAAATGTATGTATAGTACAAAATACAGTAATCTTAACATATATAGTTAGTTCAGTTTACATTTATCATTACTTCCCCCACTATTAATTTAATCATCTTGTTAATATGGATCAACTGACATCTGAAGTATGCAATGTCATTTTTAGTTTTGCTGCTCTAATGCCTGTTATGACAAGGAACTAGTATTTACATATTCTATTTTTCAGCATCATATGTTCGTAAAATGCACAAATGCAATAGAATGCAACAGCAGCTACTGAGTTACTTTACTGTGGTGTGGGAGGCAATTTACTGGACTTTTCCAGTTTGTTTAAATTAAAAGCGCTGGGGGGGGGGGGGGAGTTGGGTGCTGGTATCTCCTGTGTTATGAACGAGGTTTGAAGCTGCCACTGTGCCTTGTACTATTCTTCAGGTCAATAAAATGTCTATAAATAACAAACTAATACAGGTAACTTAATTGCCAAAACAGAAGGGCTAATAAGCAAAACCAACAGACTGAATGGTGATATATGCCTAAATGTTTAAGGAAAATTAATTTCTGTGTAGTAGACACTATTGCCTACAGGTACGTCTACATTGCACAGCTATTTCATGATACTGGAGGCATCCTGAAATAGCTACCCCGCCTCTACACAAGTCGCTCAGTATTTCAAAATACTTTTTGAAATAAAGGGCATGCTATTTCGCTCTCCTAGTAAACCTTGCTGTACGACGGATAAGGGACGGCCTGAAATAGAGCGTTATATTGAAATTTGGCACTACATAGACACGCCAAATTTCAAAATAAGCTATTTCGAAATAGATTCGAAATAAGATATGCAATTTGCATAGCACAAATTGCATATCTTATTTCAAGATTAGGGTGCTGTGTAGACGCACCCTAATAGAGAGTTTGAGTGTGACTGAATTTTAGATTCTCTGGGCAAATAAACATAGGGATTTTTAAAACGTAAACTTATTTAAAAAAATAGTTTGATTGTCCGAAGACTTGAGGGAGTTGAGAATGCAATGTAATTTGCTGAAATAGCTGAATTAAATCTTTTTTTTTTTTTTGGTCTTTTGAACAAAAATTATACTAATAAAATATCCTCTTTGGTCTGTTATGGCTTCTAAAGTTAGTTTCCACAGTTCTTCCTCACATGAAGTCAGGAAGGGGGACAGAATTGCTGGACCCCTGAGCAAGGTGGAGAGGGCAGCTCTGTGGTCCTGGAAGGGGCAGAGCCTTGGATGGAAGCGGCAGAGCCCCTTGGATGGGGCATCTAGCCCTCAGAGCCACTCAGAGTGTACTGTGCAGTGCTCCGGTGATAAGTTAAATGGCCTGAGGCACTGGCCGCCACGGCTGCAATAGTGGCGGTGGTCAGGAGCCACAGGCCCTTTTGAATCGCTGGGCCCTGAGGTAACGACCCCCTTTAACCTCCCTCCTTATCAGTGGGCCTTTATGGAGTCGTTTTGAGACACTATATCCTCATAATAATTTACTGTAGAAGAAATATGCTTGGTATTAGATACCCTATAATATTTAAATAATCATTAAACAAATGCTAAGAAAAGCAACATAACTTATGCCAGACCAAAGTCTAATCTGCATATATGCTGTCGTGATAGCTATGCTAGCAACTATCACAATGGTCCATTACAGACATTTGCTGCTTAATAATGTAGTAGGAAGATGTACCAAATTCCTGGCTTAAAGATTCAAATAGCATGATATTTTAACAGTTGTTAAAATATGAATTATCATTAACTTAGCACTATTGGTACTTAATGCAGTGAAATTTGGACATAACTTAATGACAATGTTAAATAATGCTGGAGCTGCAAATTATAAACGTGTTTTCTTGCTTCTCGGCCTACTAAAGGCAAAGATCAAGTGTTTAATCAGGTTGAAGTTACTATTCAATAAGCCTGAAATATCAAAGTACTTTAGGTTATGGCTACAAGTGAGTGTATGCCATATACTGCATATTACAGCGCACTAAGTTTGTTTTTAAGTTTTAGAGCTTCTGTGACCAATGACAGAATTAGTTACTTCACACATTGGGCATCTGTGTCAGGGCTGAGTAATGGGTAGCCTGTGAATATGGGCCATTTGCCATGCTGTGGTCAGGAGAGGAGCAGCAGAGTCAGGGTTGAGCTGGACCATGAACAATACCAGGAAGTCTAGCACCAAGTTACAGGCAGGTGGCAGGGGCAAACTGGGATCAGCATCTGGAGTCTGGGGTTCACAGCAAGGCAAGGTTTGGAACAGATCCAAGCAAGCAGTCTGCATCATTTCTCAGGCAGCTTTCTGTGTTGGCTTCTTGGTTTATATATCAGCACGGGTCAGTCAGTGGCCTGCAGAGGGTCACTACCGACTACCCAGGTCCTGTTAGTAAATGCTGCAGTGTCTATCTTCATGGGATCTCCTAGGAGAAACATGGCCTCAGCTTTGTTCCTGGGAATGTTCAATATTGCAATGAAAATCACAAATTATAGTTCAAATATGTCTTCACTCTGAGTGCATTGGGTCATTTACCTTAACAATGTGAATGTGCTCTCATTATGATGTTCAATTTGATCAGTGTATATTCTAACATTTAAAAGTGCACTTCAGGTGGAAGAATATGGAAATATCAGCAGCTAGGAACCCCTATACATTATATAGGGTTGCCAGGTATCTTACATTGACCCGGACAGTCCAGTATTTTCGCCTCCTGTCTGGTAAAAAAAAATTCAGAAAATACCAGACACCTAAAATTCAGAAAATACTGGATCCCACCCCCTGGAACCCCACCCCCAGACCCTCTGCTTACCTGGTTCCTTCTGGCTCGATCAAGAAAACAAGGTGGCCACCAGCAAAAAGCCTAAAGACATAAAGCAAGGGGAAGCAATGCCTTCCCTGGGTCTTAGTGCTCAACCTCTCCCCTCTTCCTATCCCTATTCTGACTCTGCACACACTTAAAGAGGCCATGCTGTTTTAATGCTGTTTTATTTATTTTATTTATTTATTTCTTAACTCTCGGGGTCCTTTTTTTCCCCTTCAACAACTTTGGTCTCCCTCTTTTTTTTCCCCTCAACAGAATTTTTTCCCTGGTGTTTTTTTTTTGGGGGGGTGGGGTGTTCAGTATTTTGGGAACCCTATATACATAGAATTTTAGAGTCATGAACCAGTGTTACAAACTGATCAGTCAACCATACACCTCATTTAGAACAGGAGTACACAAAAAGGCAGCTAAAAGAGACTAAATAAATACATAAATGCAGTCCAGAGCTGTGTTAACCGTAAACTACTAAAAATATGAAGGGAAAACAGCATCTTCTGTATAGTAAAGTTTCAAAGCCGTATCAAGTCAATGTTCAGTTGTAAACTTGAAAAAGAACCACCATATTGGTTTGTTCAGTTTTGAACCTCCATTCCCAAGGGGTTCATAACTCTGAGATTCTGCTGTAGTCCCACATGCTAGTAGGGTTGCCAGGTGTCCGGTATGGACCTGGACAGTCCGGTATTTTCGCCTCCTGTCTGGTAAAAAAATTCAGAAAATAACCGGAAACCTGAAATGTCTGGTATTTTCTTCTTCTTCTTTTTTTGTGCCAGGAGGCGAAAATACCGGACACCTGGCAACCGTACGACACACTCGGCAGCTGGGCCCAGCCCCCGGCCTTCCCCCCCTCGGGCCCCCAGATCCCGTGCTTACCTGGTTTCATAGGGAAGATGCGTTCTGGCTTGATCAAGAAAACAAAATGGCCAACAGCAAAAAGCCTAAAGACCAAGGGGAAGCAATGCCTTCCCTGGATCTTAGTGCTCAACCACTCCCCTGTTCCTATCCCTATTCTGACTCTGCACGCACTGAAAGGGCCATACTGTTTTATTTTTTAATTTTTTTTTGCTCAACAACTTTGGTCTCCCCCCTTTTTTTCCCCCCTCAACAGAATTTTTCCCTCAATTTTTTGTGTGTGTATGGGGGGGTGGGGGGTGTTCGGTATTTTTTATTAAACCATCTGGCAACCCTATGTGCTAGTGCTGCAAGGTTCTTACACTCAGTTTGCTTATTTTTGAAATCTGGGTAGAGATATGTAGCCAGCATAACTATATGTACCAATTAAATTACATGCAAACATTATATTGAAGGCTAACAAGGAAGGCTCTGGCTTTCTGCACAGGAGGGTATTTCACCCTTGGAGAAATAAGGACAAGTTGCATATAAGAATCAGTCATTATAAATTACATTCAAATGGGCCAGTTTTCAATCACAGTCTATTTGTATATGCCTCACATATGAAAGTATGAGGTTTACATTATATTTAATGGACAATTTATTTAATGAAGGTAAGTAATTGCTGTTAAAACAAGCATGTTAAACACAGAGTGAAGCTATTTTAAAATAATATCAGTCATTTATTATGTCCTGAGTGCAGCGGACTGGACTTGATGACTTCTCAAGGTCCCTTCGAGTTCCAGCATTCTATTATTTTGTGCTTTCTAATAAAATTAAGAATCAGTTGATTTTTTCCTTTGACAAAGGTAGTCAAGCTAGTTTTGATACTTAGCTCAGTATAGCCCATTTTGCGGGTGCACAGAGCATAAGAAGCAGGATCATTGCTCATGGATGAATGTTCAACATGTGCAACAATGCCATTTTTTTGGCGGGGGTGGAGAGGACTGCAGCCTCACATAGTGGAAGGGTGCTTGCTCTTCTTCCCCTTCCCTGATGATCAGGGAACAAGGGCAAAGTACACAGTTTGTGTGCATTTCTCTCACTCCTGGTTGGTATGAAAGGAGGCAAAAGAGTAATTTACACAAAACTGTGTACTTTCCCCTCTGTCTCTGATAGGAAAACAGAAAGAAGAGCAAGCAGCATTCTGGTATGCATGGCTGCAGCCCTCCATGCCCTCCTGAAATGGTGCCCTTGACCAAGATTGCAAAATCCATTTATATATCATGATATTTCTTCTACAGATTATATCCCACGAACCTGTCCCACAACTGGTTTTTCCAGGATTACCAAAAAACCAGATTGTCAGCAGAAAGTACTAATTTATTGTTTATTACCAGTAGTAAGACGGTGCATTCAATTAACTGCAAGAATTGGAGTCACTAAAGACCTGATTGTAACCACTGATGGGAGAAAGAGGGAAATGAGGGAGATTTAAGTTAATGGTTGTTATTTGGGTCAGTAAATTAAACACATCTTTTTCCTCTGGAAAGCCTGATAGATTGGAGACTCTGGGACAGATTCTCTGATGGCATAACTCCATTGAAATCAAAAAGGCCGAGTGTTGGTAAAATATTCTCATCTTAATTTTCAATTAACCAATAGACAGTAGTTTAACGAGATTGGGCCTTTCAGGAGAGAATGGACACTTTAAGAGCCATAATTGAAAGATATTACATTAATATATATTAGTGGAATTCTAAAATAAATGTCTCAGCTTCATGGCATCTTAATTGTTTCTGGAATATTTTTCTTTGAAAGATTTTAACATTCATTATTTCCATTATTTTTCTTTTAAATGTAACAGCGCTGCCATATTTCGCCTGCAGGCAATGCACAGACGACTGTGTGCTGAACTGGGGAATGAAAAGTATCTCGAATCGAAAATTGCTTTGATGCTGAAAGAAAATGTGTAAGTTAAGAAGTGAGAGAGAATGGAAGGAACTGGTCTTCATTACAGTTGTTATTATAGCTATTTAGCCCAAAGTCCTAAATCAACTTATTGATTAATTCACGGACTGGAAAGGAGAGAACATATAGTATGTAAACAACTGACATTTAAAGTGATCAAAAACTTAAGAGGCAGTAAAGCTTGTGAAAAAGTCATCATTTTCTTTCCTGCCTGTAGTATTTGTAACTGTCTGAGAAGCTTGAAAATAACATCTCTGTGTATTCACTATGTAGTTTTTGTGGCAAATTTTTTTAGGGGGAAGGTATATTAAAAAGAGATGAAAGGCAGACAGTTATTTTTGCAACCCCTTCAGTGTATGGACCAGGTTCCTTTATCAGGCTTAAAATGCATCATCAGAAATGTGAGCAGAGCTGTAGGAACTGCAGGCCAGTTTCTGTGATGGTGTAAACAAGTGAAACTCCCCTATTGTTGACTTTGAGCTGAAGCAGTTTAATCCTGAGCAGAAAGACACACATCTAAAAATTGAAGACTTCAAAAAGTGACTTTTGATACTTTGCTACTATACAAGCAATATTCTATTTGCATAACATGTCACTGGAGTTATGCTCATGTAGCCAAACAGACAATTAGGATTTGGTCCACTAGGATTTGGTCCATTCCAGTGATAATGGAAAGAAAAATGTCTCTCTGCAGATCCCACAAAACAGCATTTATTCCTTTTTCAAATGTTAATGTTTTGGAGTTCATATTTTAATATTGCCTGTGGCAAAGACATGGTGGATTTAATAAAATCTGAGAGAGACACTCTGAATTTCTCAGGTTAAAAAGGGTTTCAAACTAGAATTTATTTTTGGGCTAAACTACCAGATAGCGCAACATCCAAGAAACAATGAAATCGACAGCAATGCTTCCATTCACTTCAGTGGGATCGGATTTTATTAAAAACTACTGCTGCTATTAGTACTGTTTAGTATGGCAGTATTTCTTAAACTTTTTAAGACCGAGGAACACCAAACAATAATTTTTTTTAATGAGAAACACCAAGGATTTTTTGTTGAAAAGAAAAAAAATGGGGGGAGGGGAGTTATTGACCAAAAAAAAAAAAAAAAGGCAGAGGGAGAGGAGTTACTGAGGGGAAAAAAAGGTCACCTGTCCCTTTAAGGGAGGCCATTTTGTTCTGTTGTTCTCCGCAGCACACCTCCGACTGCCTTGCGGCACACCGGTGTGCCACGGAACACAGTTTAAGAAACACTGGTTTAGGGTGAGCATTGCATCTTAGCTCTGAAATACACAGTAAACTTGTACCTTTTACTGAGTGTCTGTTATCAACTTGTGTGTTTGATTCCCATAGTAACTTATTGATAAAGGAATTTTTACTGAGAAAGCTCATTTTTAAAAAGTGCTTTCCTTTCATAGCATCACCAGTCATATATACAATTAAGTTCAGGGAAATGTCATCACTCTACTTTCATTATAAAGGTACATGCAGTATCTGCACCTGGATAGGGCAGGTATCTGCTTTTCAACATCAGTTTGTAAAGAGCTGCTGTTTTCTAATGTATCGGTGGGCCTTACCCAAAGTAGTGGAATTTTCAAAAGACATTGTGAGATTAATCTTGAAGGGTCAATGTGACAGTGAACACCACTGTGGATCAGCTGAAGGACTGTCAGTTCTGTGTGTCTTTCAAAATGAAAGAGGCCTTATAAAATACTGGCGCATAAGGTCAGAGATGTGATAAGAGGCTATCCCTCTCTTACTGACCTTGAGATGAATTAGCTTGACCCTTGGGGCATGTTTACACTAGAGCAGGAATAATTTCTCTCTGTGTAGGGGGAAGGCCAGATGCTAGCTGTGCTTGAGCAAGTGCACTAAAATTAGCAGTGTGTCTGTTGTGGCACAGAGGGCACCATGTGCTGGCCATCAGAGTATGGACCAAAAGGCAGGGTTGTCCCTAGAATTTTTGGTGTTCTGCACAGCCCCCCGCAAGGTGGGGCTGCACTCAGGGCTGCAGGAGCAGGAGCAGAACAGGGATGCAGCAGGTGCCAGTGGGAAGCGGAGCCTCTTGGCCCCAACCCACTTAGCTTCCCCAGTTCCCAGCTGTGTTGCTCTGGAAAATGAGTTCGGGGGAAGAATTGGAACCGCCCCCACACTCACCAGTGCTGGGAAATGGAGCTGAACAAGATGGGGCTGGGACACTCTGCTTTCTGCTGCTACCATGAGTGCAAGTGTGGCCCAACCCCTGCTGCTGGCATCAGTCCCTCCTCACACTCAGTAGTCCACCAGGTTATGTCTGCTAGAGGAAAGGGCCGAGCGGAGAGGTGTCCTGGGTTCCTCACCCTCCCGCCATGCCAAGTTGGCCCTGTTGGAAGCAGCCTGCAGCAGAAGGCAGCCAAGGGATGCGGCTGGTCACAGTAGCTGGCACCACCCCGCATGCAGCTGCGTAAGGTACTATAGAATTTAGGACAGTTTGGTGCCCCACATTTCGTGGTGCTCTACACCACTGTGCACTTTGTGTATTGGTAAGTACGGCCCTGCCAAAGGCATCAGATGTACGTATGCAGTTAGCGTGTGCTTCAACATCCACACTGCTATTTTTAGCATGCTGTCTGTCAACGGGCAAGCATCCAGCTGCAGTGAATACATACCTTAGAGTCTGAGCAGAAGAAAACACATCTGAAAAACAAAGACTTCAGAACCAGACCCTGGATATTTTTGCTACCACATTAGCAGTGTTACTTTTGCAGAACAAGCACTCTTCATATTATGCGAAGGAAGTATATTCTATTTCTGTAGAGCTCTCCACCCTGCAGATGCCACAGTTTAAACTTGAGTAGAGACATTCCTGGGCTGTTATATAAAAACTGTCTTTCAACTTGTGCTGATGTTGGGGTCACATGGAAACTGAGTGAATATCTGTCGGATTCAGCATAGCGAGCAAGAATTTCGAAAGGCATCTGGACACTGACAGTTAATTTATATAAATTATGTTCTCTGCTGTTTTTTGGAAAAAAACAAATGCTTAATATAGAAGGACCACAGAGTGACAGACAAAGTCTGTCAGGCTTTGGCTACACTGGCAGATGTAAAGTGCAGTAGCATGACCACACTTGCACTGCTCACAGACTGCAACAGTGAAAACGCTGCTGAGTGTCCACACTGTCAGCCACCAGTGCAGTAGCATGACCACACTTGCGGCACTAGCAACACCTTTTGTAGGAGTGCATTCTGGATTGCTATCGCACAGAGCACCTCTTCCTCTTCTACTCCAGAGGTTTGTGGGGAGGCGCAGGGCATCCTGGGTCCTGCCCCAGTGCCCCATGGTGTACTGCTTTGCAACCCAGCAATCCCTGCGCTTCCATCTGCATTTGGTGCCATCTTTCAACAGCTTCTGTGCTGCACACTCTGCCTCCTCAGTGTGCAGAAACAGATCTGCAGCTGTTGAGGAAAATACTAATAGGTCTCTGCACTGGATCAGGTTGGAGGCCTGAGCCTGTCCAGGGTCAGAGGGAGGCCAATCTGCCTCATTACCAACATTACCAATCTGCCTCATTACCAAGGCAAACAGCCTAGTTCAGGCCCCGTTTCTCTGTGTGACAGTAAACAGCTTCAGGTCCCAGGCCTTTGCTGAGGCCAGGCAAGCACTCAATATACCCTGGCTCTGGGTAAGACTTTCAACAGCACCAATTACAGGCAGTCCCTGGGTTACGTACAAGATAGGGACTGTAGGTTCGTTCTTAAGTTGAATTTGTATGTAAGTCGGAACTGGCGTCCCGATTCAGCCGCTGCTGAAACTGACCAGCGGCTGACTTGGGGACGCCTGGGGCAGAGCAGCTGGGGTGCTGTGGGTTGGTCCAGTAGCGCCGAGGAGCACTAGCTGCGTTCCCCCCCCCCCCCAGCAGACCAGGGAGACGCGGGTCGCGGGACCGCCGAGACGTGCCCCGGTCCCGCCCGCATCCTCCGCGGCTTTGCTCCGCATCTCCCTGGTCTGCTGGGGGGGACTCCCCCCAGCAGACCAGGGAGACGCGGGTCGCGGGACCGCCGAGACGTGCCCCGGTCCCGCCCGCATCCTCCGCGGCTTTGCTCCGCATCTCCCTGGTCTGCTGGGGGGGACTCCCCCCAGCAGACCAGGGAGACGCGGGTCGCGGGACCGCCGAGACGTGCCCCGGTCCCGCCCGCATCCTCCGCGGCTTTGCTCCGCATCTCCCTGGTCTGCTGGGGGGGACTCCCCCCAGCAGACCAGGGAGACGCGGGTCGCGGGACCGCCGAGACGTGCCCCGGTCCCGCCCGCATCCTCCGCGGCTTTGCTCCGCATCTCCCTGGTCTGCTGGGGGGGACTCCCCCCAGCAGACCAGGGAGACGGGGAGCAAAGCCTCAGAGGACGCCGGCAGCAGGACAGCCGCGGCGCGTCTGGGCAGTCCTGCTGCCCGCATCCTCCGAAGCTTTGCTCCCCGTCTCCTTGGTCTGCTGGGCCCCTCCCCCAGCAAATCAGGGAGACGCGGAGCAGCTTTTCTCGCCCTGGAGGACGCAGGCAGTGGGACCGCGGTGCATCTGGGCGACCCGCCGCTCGCGTCCTCCAGGGCGGGAAAAGCCCCGTTCGCAACATAAGTCGGATCCGCATAACTCGGGGACCGCCTGTACATAAAAGCCTATGTCCCATTTAGACACCTAGGTCCTGATTCTCAAAAGCAATGGTTTTCAACCTGTGATCCAGGGACCTCCTGGAGTTCTGCAGACTATGTCTAGGATTCCAAAGGGTCTGTACCTCCATATGAAAAATTGTAGGGGTTCCGCAAATGAAAAAAGATTGAAAAACACAGATCAAAAGTATTTAGTGATCTAATTCCCATTGATTTTATGGAGCTGGGCCTTTGGAGCCTAAGTTCTATTGAATTTTAATCAGACGTAGGCTCCTAAATATCTACTTTGCTTTTGAAAATAGGACTTCGGTGCTACTTTTACCTGATGTGAACACTGCAATTTCCAGGTCTGGCAGATTCACATATAAGAGGCATTTTTCAGTCTCATGCTTTTCTAGGGCTTCATATACACTGTGATTTGCATGCAGGTTTCCCATAATCCTCAGAAGGAATTCTGTACTAAAAATTAAATCCAGGCCCTAGTAAAGTCAAGGGGAATTTTGTCATTGACTTCAGTGGGGCCAGGTTTTTATTCTAATACTTTGTCTTTGATCTTCATGGATGTGAGGGCATGAATCTTTATGCTTTAACTCAGATTTAATGTCCTGTATCAACCTTAAGCATCCTTAAACTAGGTTCGATGGGGACAGGTGACCAAAGCCCACGGGTAAGTGAAGAATATGGAGACCTGGAAGATGGGTCAGAAATGGGAGGAAGTGTGGGCTATAATAGCAGAGAGAAAGGAAGAACAAGGCAGAACTGGGAGGCAAGATCAAATTAGTATCTTAGATGCCTATATACAAATGCAAGAAGTATGGGTAATAAGCAGGAAGAACTGGAAGTACTAATAAATAAATACAACTATGACATCGTTGGCATCATAGAGACTTGGTGGGATAATACACACAATTTGAATATTGCTATAGAAGGGTACAGCTTACTCAAAGGACAGGCAGGGAAAAAAGGGAGGAGGTGTTACCTTATATATTAAAAATGTACACACGTGGACTGAGGTGGAGATGGACATAGGAGATGTGCATGTTGAGAGTCTCTGGGTTAGGCTAAAAGGGGTAAAAAACAAGGGTGATGTCATGCTAGGGGTCTACTACAGGTCACCTACCCAGGCGGAAGAGGTGGATGAGGCTTTTTTTAAACAACTAACAAAATCATCCAAAGCACAGGATTTGGTAGTTATGGGGGACTTCAACTATCCAAATATATGTTGGGAAACTAACACTGCGGGGCACAGACTATCCAATAAGTTCTTGGACTGCATTGAAGATAACTTTTTATTTCAGAAGGTTGAAAAAGCTACTGGGGGGAAGCTATTCTAGACTTGATTTTAACAAATAGGGAAGAACTGGCTGAGAATTTGAACGTGGAAGGCAGCTTGGGTGAAAGTGATCATGAAATCATAGAGTTCATGATTCTAAGGTACGCTTATGCAAATGAAGCCCGGGAAATTCAAATCCCGGGCTTCATTTGCAATTGCGGTATGCCTACATTACCCTCCTATTTCGAAATAGAAGGGTAGTGTAGACATACCCTCAGAGAGCTGGTAGGTAAGCTCCCATGGAAAGCAAGACTATGAGGAAAAACAACTGAAGAGAGCTGGAAGTCTTTCAAAGGGACATTATTAAGGGTCCAAAAGCAAACTATTCTATTGTGTAGGAAAGATAGAAAGTATGGAAAAAAGACCAGGTTGGCTTAACCAGGGGATCTTGCATGATTTAAAAATCAAAAAGGAGTCATATAAGAAATAGAAGCTAGGTCAAATGACAAAGGCTGAATATAAACAAACAACACAGGTATGCAGAGGGAAGATTAGTAAGGCAAAGGCACAAAATGAGCTCAGTCTAGCTAGAGACATAAAGGGTAAAAAGAAGACATTCTATAAATATATTAGAAGCAAGTGTGTGACCCAGCAGTAGCGTTCCCTCACTGTCCAGGTCATCGCCCCCACCTGGACAGGGGTTTCACCTACCTAGGCACAATAGTGCCTACCACCCTTTTGCAAGATATCACTCTAGGTGTGTGATTAATTCCCCGGGTTTATTCCTGTGTAATCTGAGTCTATACCTGGTCGCCTCGCTGGCTCCCCTGACCGAAAGGGAGGGGTAGGGGTGCTCGGGCCCATCCCCACTCCGAGCCCCAACCCAGGGCCCTAAGAACCGGAGGAAACCCTTTCCTATGGTTTGGTTGGTGGGGGTAACTACACCCCCATTACAAAGAGGAAGACCAAGGACAGGGTAGGCCCATTGATCAGTGAGGAGGGGGAAACAGTAACAGGAAACTTGGAAATGGCAGAGATGCTTAATTACTTCTTTGTTTTGGTCTTCACCGACAAATCTGATGAAGGAATGCCTGACATAGTGAACGCTAGTGGGAAGGGGGTAGGTTTAGAAGATAAAATTAAAAAAGAACAAGTGAAAAATCATTTAGAAAAGTTAGATGTCTGCAAGTCACCAGGGCCTGATAAAATGCATCCTAGAATTCTCAAGGAGTTGATAGAGGAGGTATCTGAGCCTTTAGCTATCATCTTTGGAAAATCATGGAAGACAGGCGAGATTCCAGAAGATTGGGAAAGGGCAAATATAGTGCCCATCTATAAAAAGGGAAATAAAAACAACCCAGCAAACTACAGACCAGTCAGTTTAACTTCTGTGCCAGGAAAGATAATGGAGCAAATAAGTAAGGAAATCATCTGCAAACACTTGGAAGATAATAAGGTGATAGGGAACAGCCAGCATGGATTTGTAGAGAACAAATCATGTCAAACAAATCTGATAGCTTTCTTTGATAGGATAATGAGTCTTGCGGATAAGGGAGAAGTGGTATACCTAGACTTTAGTAAGGCATTTGATATGGTCTCCTTGATATTCTTATCAATAAATTAAGCAAATACAACTTAGATGGGGCTACTATAAGGTGGGTACATAACTGGTTGGATATCCATTTCCAGAGAATAGTATTAATGGTTCACAATCCTGCTGGAAAGGAATAACAAATGGGGTTCTGGGCAAGGGTCTGTTTTGGGACTGGTTCTGTTCAATATCTTCATCAACGATTTAGATATCGGCATAAAAAGTATGCTTATTAAGTTTGCAGATGACACCAAGCTTGGAGGGGTTGCAACTGCTTTGGAGGATAGGATCATAATTCAAAATGATCTGGACAAATTGGAGAAATGGTCTGAGGTAAACTGGATGACGTTTAATAAAGACAAATGCAAAGTGCTCCACTTAGGAATGAACAATCAGTTTCACACATACAGAATGGGAAGCAACTGTCTAGGAAGGAGTATGGCAGAAAGGGATCTAGGGGTTATAGTGGACCACAAGCTAAATATGAGTCAACAGTGTGATTCTGTTGCAAAAAAAGCAAACATGATTCTAGGATGCATTAACAGGTGTGATGTGAGAAAGACACGAGAAGTCATTTTTCCACTCTACTCTGCGCTGATTAGGCTTCAGTTGGAGTATTGTGTCCAGTTCTGGGTGCCATATTTCAAGAAATATGTGAAAAAATTGGAGAAGGTCCAGAGAGGAGCAACAAGAATGATTAAAGGTCTAGAGAATATGAGCTATGAGGGAAGACTGAAAGAACTAGGCTTGTTTAGTTTGGAAAGAAAAAGACTGGGGGGATATGATAGCAGTTTTCAAATATCTAAAAGAGTGTCACAAAGAGGAGGGAGAAAAAATTGTTCTCCTTGGCCTCTGAAGATAGAACAAGAAGCAATGGGCTTAAACTGCAACAAGGGAGGTTTAGGTTGGACACCAAGAAAAAGTTCCTAACTATCAGGGTGGTTAAACACTGGAATAAATTGCCTAGCGTGGTTATGGAATCTCCATCTCTGGAGATATTTAAGAGTAGGTTAGATAAATGTCTGTCAGGGATGGTCTAGACAGTACGGGGTCCTGCCATGAGGACAGGGAACTAGACTCGATGACCTCTCGAGGTCCCTTCCAATCCTAGTATTCTATGATTCTATGATTAATGCACCCCTCACCATGGTATCTAAGCTCCTCAGTCAAAGCTCCAAATAGTCAACTCTAAGAACCATCACTGAAAAATCTTAGAAACAGATTAGGTGGTTTTAAATAAAGAAAGCATTAAAATCATTCTTTACTGTCTAGTAGACATTCTGACAGTCCTTATAATGAGTAAATACTAGCTTGAGGAAGAAGTTTGACGAGATGGGTAAGTACGATCTCTAAAAATGGAAGTGTTATTAACAAGGGTGGAATTTTGGAAAGGTAGGGAAGGCTGCACCCATGTGCTCCTAGACATGGCTTGCTTTTTATCCCATTCCCCAGAGCTCCCTTCACCAGCCAGGTGTGAGAAGCATGCACAGAATGCAAGTACTTTCACCTCACTGCCTGATACTCCGGGGAATGGGATGAAAAGCAAGCCATCTCCTGGAGCACACGGCTGCTGCCCCACCCCCAAAATTCCACTCTTGGCTATTAATATTAGCACTACTTGACTTCTTAGTTATCATGCCCTTTAAAACAAGCAGGACAGAGTAAAACTTGGCTGAATTTCCTATTTCATTTTGGAGCAGGTAGCACAGAATGTAATTAATTGATCTGATTTCCTTTCCGCAATTATCTTTGCTCATTTCACTTGGTCCCTTTAATGAAAACACCTCACCTTGCACTTAAAAGGTACGATATGTGGCAAATCGAAATTGAGCAGGAGAAATTTGGAAGCCTCCGGGAGCAACTTGAGCAAGATGAGGAGGAATTAGAGAGACAGTGCAAAGAGCGGGCAGAACAGAGAATTCAGAAAGAAAAGGCTGTGGCCCGGCTAGCAGAACGAAAACAGCAGGTTGGAAAAAAGTAAGTACAACAGACATTCCACTTTCCTTTCCCCAACTAACTTAGCCCTTTTCATTTGGTCATTGGAAAGACTTGTTAACTCAAAGGACGCTAGTCATAAAGGGTCTTCCTGTAGGTAGGTACTCACCACAGAATACCTGACTCAAAGAAATGTGATTAAAGGAGGAATGTAAAAAAATAGCAACAATCCACAGCCCTGAAGGCTGCAACCCTTGGGCAAGCAGAGGTGCCCTTGACTTTAGTGGGAGCTGTTTGTACATCAGCATGGTAGCACTATGCCCACTAGATTTTTATTTGTGTTTTGCAGAAAAGAAATGGAAGCCTGGGAGGAGTATGAGAGAAGACATCAAAAAGAAGTCGAAGATGCACACCGGAATCGTGAGAAAGCAGTCCAGTTTCTGAAAAAATCTATGTCAAGGTTCCATTAGCTTTTTCCATTGCTAGCATCATAGCACAGGATCTGAAATGTTATACCTGAGCCTCAGCCTTTAGGAATAAACATTTTTACAGCTAGATTACATTGTGACACACTTAGCCCTGGTCTGTGCTACAAACTTCTGTCAGTATAATGATATCGCTTTGGGATGTAGATTTTCCACACTCTGAGAAACATAGTTTTACTAACCTAACCCCTGGTGTAGACAGCACTAGATCAACAGGAGAGAAATAGCCACCAGCTCTCAAAGAGATGGACTACTTATGCTGATGGGAGAAGCTCTCTCATTGGTGAATTGGAATTCACTAAGTGCTAGAGTAGCATAACAAGGGTAGACAGGCCATTAGAAATCTCCAGCTTCCTGTGATCCTGTCAGGTCTCTCAAGCTGTGCAGGAACTTGAATAAGAGGATTCTTAGGAAAATCCAGGTTGTTTGTGAAGTAGTATGGCTGTATGAAGTAGTTGGGAGCCTTCCTTTTGAGTCTGTTTTGACTAGGGATGTTGAAAGACAGTTAATTAGGTAACCGTGTAACCACTGAAAATCTCAGCAGTTACATAATTACACACTACTGGCTCTGCAGTATGAAGCTGGCTTTTAAGCTGGCATCTGGTGCGTATCAGCTCCTGGCCCCACTACCAGAGAGCTGGATGCCCCCCCATGCTCGCTGCAGGTTCTGATACACAGCCAGCAGCTCAGGGTGGCAGCAGGCTCTCCAGGAGCGGGGCAGGAGTCTGCATGTAGCCATTAATGGCAACTGATAAGTCTAGACTTATTGCCTAATGCTTTAAATGATTATACTGTTACATCCCTAGTTCTGACACAGTCCCACTCAATATAGCCTTAGGGGCCCTTTATTGCTGGAGAAGTTGAGTTTTGAGTTAGATGTAGATCAAGGGTGGGCAAGATATGGCCCACAGACCAGATCTGGCTTGCCAAGTCTTTTAATCTTGCTCGTGGCCTGCCCTTGCAGTATGAAGCAGCTCCACATCGCTCAAAGTGGCTGGCTTCAACCTATGGCTCTCTGCACCATGCACAGGAAGAGCGAGGGAGAGGGAGACTTCATATGTTGCTTCGACCATGGCACAATCTTGTAGCCCCTATTGGCCAGTTTCCGGCCAATATGAGCTGAGAGATTGTGCTGTTGGTGAGGGTAGCACACAAAGCCTCTCCACTCCCTCTCCCCTGGAGCAAAAAGCCACATGGAACAGCCAGCCATTTTGAGCAGCCTGGGGCTGTGGGCAGGCAGGGAAGCTTGCTTGAGCTTCTGGGCAGGAGATGCTTAGGTAAGCACCTCCTGGCCAGAGTCTGCCTCAGACACCCCACCGCCTCCCACATCCCAGACTCTGCACCCCCTCCTAATTCTCTTCCCCAGGCCAGAATCCTCTCCTGCACCCATATCCCCTCCCAGATCCTGCACCTCAATCCTCTGCCCCAGGTCACAACCCACTCCTTCACCCAAACTCCCTCTCAGATCCCATACCCTCTCCTACACCCCAGTCCCTTACCCAGACCTCCCTTCTGTACCCAACCTCCATCCCACACTTTGCACCCTCTCCATAAAAAATGCAGCCCTTGACCACTTGCCAAAATCTTAGAGTTACTCTCCATCAAAAATTACTGCTCACCGCTCATGTAGATCCTGGCTACTTGTAGGCTTGTTCTCTTGATGTGTTTTTTACCCATTAAGAGGTTTTAAACCCCATTATTTAGCCCAATTCCAAATCAGATAATTACCTGTCTAAATTACCTCTAAAGTTTAATATGGATATGGTAGCTTTCCCTTTTATCTACTAAAATTGCTGCACAGTCTTTCTTTGTGCTGTTTCTGTTATATCTCTGCATTATACTTCAGGGGTTAATGAGATGAGCTCACTCTGTGTTGCTTTGTGTTTTGTATTGTTAGTTTTTATTTTTATGCTAAAGACTCTCTACAAAATATCTTTATTGGAATTTTATACACTGGAAAGGTAATTATAATTCCCTATTATTTAGTTTTGTCTTTGGCAATATGGAGAAGCAATGTGCCAGCAATTAAGTCCAGTGAATTCATTATTTGACTGTTCTTGCTGAATCTTGTATCTCAAGCAAAATACATTGTATCTACTAGAATGGAATCTAGGTTCTTAATAGTTAGAGATGGAAAAGACCAACTGGTTAAACAATGAACCAAATATAAATTTAATATTTAAATTCATGTTAATAATTTTGGGATTTTCTCTGGCTTGACTAGGAGGATACTATATTTAAAAAGGCCATATTTAGGGCTATATTTGTAGTCTTTATACAATAGAACAGTTTATGCAAACATCAGCCTTTGATTATTTTAGAATATGTCATTGTGTGTGTCAGTTATATAACCAACACACAAATCTTTATTATGTTTTAGTGGCTAGACGTTAATCTCAATGTGGAACACACCTACTCAAAGTTTAAGAAAATACGTTGTTGAGCAAACTATCTGAAAGGCTTTGTGGCCCTTAGAACCTATGAGGTTCTCAGTACAAGACTCTTCCAACTACAGGCAGTCCCCGGGTTACATGGATCCGACTTACATCGGATCCCCACTAGCTGCTTCCCCCCAGCAGACCAGGGAGACGCGAAGCTAGCGCCACCCCCCAGCAGAACAGGGAGATGCGGAGCGGCTTTTCTCAGCAGACACCTCAGCTTGAGAATAAAGGACTGAGGGAAGTGAGGTGTGGGAGAATAAAACTGAGCTCTGGAGAAATGTTTGGCTAGAGTTTCCCCTCCAATATGTACCAGTTCCGACTTACATACAAATTCAACTTAAGAACAAACCTACAGTCCCTATCTTGTATGTAACCCGGGGACTGCCTGTATTCTATTTTACTGGACCCAATATCATTGTAAACACAGTGTAACCTACGGGAGGGTTAACAATTACTGTTTGCCAGGTTAGCTATTTTAATGCTGAATGCTTCATAGCAGGACACAGACCTGAAAAGCTTTATTCTACCAACAGAGTTCGTCAGAAAGAAGCAAAGGAAGAACTGAAAACTTGGGAGCATATGGAAAAAAGGATGCAAGCTGTGCTGTCCCTGAAAAACAATATAACTTCCAATAGGGTACCTCTGTGACTACTGAGATTAGTAGTGATGCAATTGGAGTGACAAATTTTAATGAAAACCATTTCAGTTTTTAGCAAGCCCCTGTATTCCATGACCTAGGCTGGGAGTGTAGCCATTAAAGGTCACAGAGTCAGACTCATAAGACCAAATTCAAATACTCTCACTTTCATTGAGTAAATACTTTATTCCCTGAGTGGTTCACTGACTTCAGTGGTATCACAATTTCAATACAGTGTTCCATGAGTAAAGGTGTTAGAATCTGGCCAATAGGATGGTTGATTGTCTTGCTCTTAATACAGAAATACGTTATATTAAAATAAAACAGTTACCATTACCATAACATAACCATTAAAATAATTTAAACCAACAGGAAAATGAAGAAATTCAGACTTAAGGCTATAATAATTTTATTTTACCTGTTTGAATCTATGCACTGCAAAGTCTGAGAAGATTGATGTTAACTAGTCACTGATTGTATTAATGCCACCACACGTTATTGCATAGAGTTACTTATTTTAAGAGAGGGCCCTGGAGAAGAAAGTTGGAGGTCAAGTGATACGGTACTTGCATTTAGTCCTAATCCTGGCACAGCTCTTTGCCAGGAGTAGGAGTAATTTGTGTGAGTTGGAGTGCAATTAACTCAACTATTGCAAATAAAATCAGGTACAATTAAAGGATTTACAAAAGCCCCAAAGCTATTACAAAGATAAAGCAACCTCTGAGCAGAAAAATCCACCATTGGTTTATAAACAGAGAAAGGGACCAAAATCAGATTGTGTTTTTAATTTTCCATACTGTGTGAATAGAATATGTAACTGTTACTTGCATGACTTCATAGGAAAAACTTCGAGCCCTCCAGGTGAGAGACAGAGCAAAGGCTCTTGAGGCAAAAAAGCAAGAGCTGAAGATGAGAGCGGCTATTGTGGCAGAAGGAGGTGATGTCACCAAGGAGATTTTTCTCCATAAACAATGTGTGGAGTTAGAAAGACAGAAGCAGTAAGTAGTCATTTCTTTATATATCTTTCATTCCGGGTCGATAAAAATCTCCACCTCAAGCCACTCAGACACTAAAACATGAAATTTATATTCCTTTCTAATTTTAGCAGTTCCATTCTAATTTATGTTAGCCTTGCTACCCCCAGGGAATTGAACTGATTTCTGTAGCTAGAGACTATCAATCCAAAGCCTCAGAACAGAATTGACAAAGCTTTATTGACTCAGTGAAGGTAGGGTGATTTATATCAGCTGAGGATTTGGCTCAACCACTTTTTCCTTATAGTTTAAAAAAAGTGTGGCATCAACTCACTGGTTCAAATCCAAACTGTGGTTCCAACCTGCTACTGCATCTGTGAAGGTATAATTTACAGTGCATAAGGAAAACCCATTGAAGTCAATGAAGCTCTGCATGGGAGTCAGCCCACATCAATTTTATTGCAGGATTGGGGCTATTGTTTGTTAAGACGAAAATATTGCCATCAAATGGTGAGTAGATAACCCACATGAATAGGTATGAAGTTTTGTCCTTTTTCTGGGCAAGTGTCCAAGGCATGCAAACCATCCATCCCAAGCAGATGAGAAGTAGAACACTTATTGACAGATGAACCAGTGAGGCTATGGATGACTGGCCTGGGAGACTGATTACTCTTTAGAAGTGATCTTCTAAATTAGGATTGAAGGGGGCAGTGTGGGGACTAGCCACTAATGCACTTGTGATGTCCAGAGTAAGAGAAAACGTCAGTCTTTGGAGTTGTGAACCAGTCACTTTTGCTAGTGCTAATGCACATAAACATTAGTGAATAAACATTCTGCAGAAGTTATGGATATTCTGTCCTAGAAAAGACCATCATATTTTTGTAGGTTTAGTACTTCATCTTTTTCGCTATTTCCCCATGAATCACATGCTCTGTTAGATGTGCTATTGGCTATACATGAGAGCATGTTCCTCACAGCAGTTCCTTTCTAATTTCAGCTATCATTCTGCTAGCCTGCTATTTCTCCAAGTGCCTTTGTTTTTCTCTTAGTCTTCTGTCCATAACAGAGATGATCTGTGTTCTCTTTCCCATCTGAGTCTCAGCCTAAACATATGTCCCGTAATTATATGCAGAATAATTAATTATTTAACCATTAGAATCTGTAATTTAATTTGTATTGTTCAATTTAAAAAACCAGCAAAATGTATAAAATGTGCTTTAGGGTTAATATGTTCTGTTATTAAGTTTTCGGTAGATTACATTGTAAACTCATGAAATAATTCTAGGGAAGAAACATGGTCTTTGGGTAAGGTACAGCACAGAGTCAAGAATCCTCTGCCATTTCTGGCATGACTACTTTCTGTGCCTCAGTTTCCCCAACTGTAAACCAGAGGTTACACAACATAATTGCTTCCCTAGAATGTTGTGAGCTAATTTCAGAGTTAATAAAGCAATTTGACATAAAAAGGGCAATATATAAGTACAAACTATTCTAATGTCCTGCCTATATTTAGAATCAGTAATCATTTGCACACAGATCTATTGAAAATGTAAATCCTAGAAGCGAATTGAATCTTTACCATGAATAAATTCTGGTTCTGAAAGCTATATAGAACCTAAAGGAACATAGAGGAAAGAAACAGAAATAGTAATTTTCCTGTGGATTCTGTTAATTCCCACCCACACACTCATTTTGTTAGTTTAGGGTAATCACCCTGTACTGCTGGGTACAGTCTGTAGTTTAAAGAGACATGGCTTCAAAATCAGATAATTTCAGACAAAAAAGTATTTTCTGTTGCGTAAGTTACACTTAAGATTGTTATAACCAAGAGACGAGAGAAAAAAGGTCGTCTTGCTTTTTCAGTTAGTTTACTTGAACACTTTGAAATATAAGAAAATGTTATTGCAAAAATCACAGAAATTGGCCAAGGTATTTAGGGGCAGGCATAGGAGTGGTCCTCAAATTACTTCTCTATTTTAAAACCTTCAGAGGGGTAGCCGAGTTAGTCTGTAACAGGAAAAACTTAAAAAATAACAAAATAGTCTAGTAGCACTTTAAAGACTAACACAATGTGGAGATGGTATCATGACCCACAGCTGAGGTATAGCCATGCCATAAACAAATGACTCAAGATCACACAGCCTATGGCAAAGCAGAGATTTCCAAGTCCCAAGCTAGTGGCCTAGCCTCTAGGCCAGTGGTTCTCAAACGTTTTGGCCCACGCCTCACCCCACTCAACGCAGACCTTTCCACAGACTACCAGCCAACCATCCATGATGGCAAAATTAATACAGGAATGGGTGGAGATTGGGCTCTAACTGGGAGGGAGGTTGGCTGTAGTGATGGATTGGGGGTTCTGGGAGAAGACAAGGTGCAGGAGCAGGCTGGGGGGATTGGGTCTCAGTGGCAGGGACTATGTATGAGGGTGATGGAGGTGTGGAGTCTGGGCACGAGGGGGATGGGGGGTTCTTATCTGGCTCCATGTCTCCCAGGGTATGTCTACACTACAAAGTTAATTCGAACTAACAGCCGTTAGTTCGAATTAACTTTAATAGGGGCTACACATACAAACGGCTAGTTCGAATTTAAATCGAACTACCAGAGTGCTTAATTTGAACTAGGTAAACCTCATTCTACGAGGAGTAACGCCTAGTTTGAATTAAGGGCTGTGTAGCCACTTAATTCAAACTAGTTGGAGGCTAGCCCTTCCCAGGTTGCCCTGGTGGCCACTCTGGGCCAAACCAGGGAAACTCTTCTGCTCCCCTCCTGGCCCCGGAGCCCTTAAAGGGGCACGGTCTGGCTACAGGGCTTGTGCCACCTGCCTGCCTGCCAGCACCCAGCCAGCAGACCTTGCACCTGGCACGGCACGAGCCAGCCACCCACTGCCACCTAGCCCTCTGCCTCTTCCCGGGGCCAGGCTGGTGGCTCCCAGGAGCCTGCCAAGGTCCACAAGAGACGGGCGCCTGCCTGGTCTAGAGCAGACATCGTGGACCTCATCCACGACCTCCGCACTAGGCACAGGAAAGCGGCCGTCCAG